CTTTACGATATGTTTTATTTTCAATATTATTTCATGCTAATAAGGACCTATCAGAAAACGCACGATAATCCGGAATATCGCCAAATGAATAACATATTTTATTTTCGATATTTTATATATATATATTTATATCTATACATATGTATATATTGTATATATTTTTCTGGTTTCATGACAAAACGTACGTTCTCTGCAAATATCGTTAGATGAAATGCAAAGAACGTCATTCTCTAATGAAAATGAATTAGCATAGATATTATCAGAGAACGTTTATTATAGAGAAGGTTTACGGCGCGGAGAACGTAAAAATATTTTACGTTAACTCGGTCGAGATGAGGGGGTTTCACCCCTCCCAACTCGCCAGGAGAACTCATTACAGGTGCGCTTGAACAGATCTGAGCATTCAACGAAAATTATGCTCAGAAATGCCCATTGCTATTACAGACGTATGTATGTTTGCTCTTTTGGTTATATTTTTATACTTTTATATGTATGTAAACACGTGTATTCATATGAATTCACACATTTATAAATACAGGTGCAATTGAATACATTTTAATTAATTTACTTTTTCAAAGCAGTATTTGTAATTAATACGGAAATAAGGCCTACTTTTTCAATTACTTCTTATATTAAGCGTACACAGGTAAATATGTCACCCAAAAAAAACAACAATCGTCTCAAACAACACGCAGCGTCACAATCCAATGTGGTACCCAAATTGCCGAAGCCCAAATGTAATAAATCCTACAACAAAAACATTTWCATTCATAAAGGCAGCCACCTTCCCAATTCCCTGAGCATGYGTTTGCCCACAAGCGGCTTGCAAAGGAAGCGGTTACCATCGGCGATCGTTCGCTTGTTTTTTCGGCACAGCTCGGATTTTGTACCAACAATACAATGTTGTAAAGCTTTGTCGCCGCGCCAGTACTTCGACATTTTGACAAAACTTGAGATTCGTCATTGGTTGACCGTGACAACGAAGATTTCGCATAAAGAATTGAGTGCACATATTTATGTACATACATATGTTGCATGTCCACAAATTTACAAACAGTATGCGTATGGTCTGTCATTTTTGTTTAAATGCACACATAATTATATATAAAGTTATAACACATTGAGTACCAAGCGGATTTGACAAAAATCTTTTCTGGGCTCTGGTTTTTTGTTATAAAGAGGTTAAAAATAGTTTATATTTATATCTGAGCCATTCCCAATCTGCTTTATTGTTTACTTTGGGTTTTATAATTGTTTTCGTACGCCGCACGTTTTTGTATGACATGAGCCTGCATGACGACAAGGGAATGGTAAAAATCGCTGTCGTACGAAAATGTGCGCTTTATTATGTACTTTAAATGGTTCTATCATCATGAAATTTGACAATTTTAGCACACATATGTACATATACAATTATATATTGACCATCTAAATATTATAATCAGGGTCGTTTGCGCATAGTACATAAGGGAATCATTCATTAACATTGGAATTATCATTATTGTTCTCATTTAACACTGTAAATTCTCAATTCTGCTATTTTCGAGTCCTCTGATGTAAAACTCTGGTGAAACACGCTTATAATTTGTCAGTGGTGAAACTTCCTCATCTCTGTACCCCTGCGAAAATTTACGATATCTAAAACGTGAATCTCCTCTATAATAAACGTTCTCTGTTTTTACGTTCTATTATCGTATATTTTCTCGTTTTATGGCAGAACGTACATTTTCTGCAGGTATCGTTAAATGAATGCAAAGAACGTGGTTTTCTAGTGAAAGCTTAAGATACGATCTGCCTTACGAAATAATAAATTTGGTAATAAAAATACCCCTAAGACGAGTTTACGGTACGCATACAGCTCAGAAGCAAAGAGCGCAAAATATATTATGTTCTGTTCATAAAGTACGTTATACGTTCTCTGTAGTAGATAATCGTTTTTCCGTGGCTGGTTAGTAAACTATGGAGCAAATAGTTATCCTACTTTGTTGCGTTTGTTTCGTGGTACGTTAATTCATTACTCATTATTATTAAATGGGAAGTAGACAGATTTCAAATTCAGAGAACGTATAAAGTTGAGAATAAGAGAGCGTATATTAATTTACATTCTCATGTCATACGTTCTGTATAGTAGATAGATATTGCATTATTTTTTTGGAGAATTTATAAAGAAACTGTAAGTATGAAAATTTAAAAAAATATTTTATAAACCCATAAGTTCCTACGCTTAGTAAAACAAATTTTTTTGGCAAACATTTTTTTTTTTTTCTTCAATATAGTTTCCTCCAATGGTGATACAGTTATTTGAGCGGCACTACAACTTTTCGAACCAGTTTTGTAGTACAATTTATCCTTTGCTTCAAAATTAGCCTCAGTTTCGGTGATTCTTCATTCGACGAAACTTTTTTCCCAGCGAGCACTGTTTTGAGATCTAAGAACAGAAAATAGTGTCTGGAAAAATATGGTGGATGCAGAGGCAATTCAAAACTCAACTCTTGGATTTTTTTGCTATTGTTTTCAATGATTTGTGATACAGTGCCTTATCTTGATGAAACAACATTTTCTTTTCCTTCCAATGCGGCCGTTTTTCAGCGATTTTATCCTTCAAACGGTTTAATAAGACTATAAATAGCCGCTCTTAATTATTTTTCCCTTTAAAGATAGCCAAAGTATAGCATACCCTGAGCATCCCAAAATACTGATGCCAAAAGCTTGCCAGCCGCTTGTTGCTTTACCGCGGATTCCATTGCCACATATTGATGCAAAAACTCGAGTTGCTTGAACATCTGCTCCGAAACATCAACTCGTCGTTATTTTTGGTCAAAAGTGAGCTCGCGCCCCCACATTGCGCAGAACTTTCTCATAGCCAAATATTCAGTTGGCTTTATAAAGTTTTCATAGATGGTATGTAAAAAAAAATCTATGAAAAATCCATACAGCCGTACTTAGAAAGCCGAATATCTCGAGGAGTATTAATGATAGCGGTTTTGAACTCGGACCTGTTTTGTAGCAAATAAAATTTCCTACAAGTTTGTCTTGTATATTTTTTCTATATTTTTCGTCATTTGCGAGATATATGCAAAAAAAAAAAGCGAATTTCGTGAAAAAGTCAGGTTTAGAGCCCCGTACTACCTCACCGCTGTAAGTTTCGACTTTGTCGCAATAGGCACTTTTGTAGAGTGTTCAATTCTGAGGAATATGTGACTAAAGTCAAAGCGAAGCCATAAAATGCCTCCGTGCTATAGAAATTTAGAGATAAAAAATCACGATTGACCTGTATTTTCTATGAAAAATTTTTACATGCCTTGGTAATGTTAATATTAAGAGCTCAAATTTTCAGGAAATTTTTTCTAAGATATTTCCAAGGAAATTTCGTGATGGGATTGAAAAAATGAATAGCTAAAAAAACATCCTATTATACATTAAGGTGTGTTGTAGAAATAACCAAAATTTTTCGATATAGAATAAAATGTACATTATATTCTCTTTGATGAATACAACGATTGCAGGAATCAATCAGTTCATACCGTTTTAGCCGTAATTTTAAAGTCTATCATCCAATTTACATGAAGTTGAATGCATTTGAGGAAGACTGAATAAGCAGAAATCACTGAGTTATTATTATTGTGGCGACACACTTTGTTTATGTATGAATTCTGAAGGTTTTACAACAATCTTAAGCCAAACGTGATTTTTAAACTGTGTGATGTTGGAGTTCCTAATTATTTTTTGGTAGTTTGCTCTATGCTTTGTAAGTTCCGAAAATTCACGAAACTTTGTTGGACTGCAATTTGAAAAACACTTCCAATAACTTATTATTCTTTATATAAAACTGTTAAGCTGGTTAGTGGAAGAGGTTTCCCAAATCAGAAGCTTTCCTCACTCAATTTTAAAAAGTGCATGAACCTTTAACTCTAGAAAACTTTTGAGCTTTAAGTTCATGCCGCCTCAACTTACTTTTCTGAGTTAACGTCACAACCTTTAACCCTAAAAAGCAATTGAACTTTAAGTTCACGCGGTTTTAAGTAACTTTTCTGTGTTAAAGTTACATGTTCGCGAGAGTTACAACAAAGCGCTTAAAGTCGAAATCAAAGGAGAATGAGCTTCATACTTTCAACTCACTCACATAACGGTTGTACGTAGTAAAAGCTCAACGCCACCTCAGGGAGCAGCAACATTATGATTTTGACAGCTGAACAGCTGATGCACTCCCAAAGAGCGCACACATACAAACAACAAGAACTGCAGGCGAAACAATAAAAAAGCTCAGCAAATAGATAAAAGTCAAAATGATGACACGAAAAAAGTAAGCGAGCTCTTTGAAATCAGTACAACTTTACATACCAGCATTAGGCCACCGAGCGCCTTTGTTTGTTTGCACTATGTTTTGAACTTTTACACGCTAGCGGGCGCTTGCAGCCGAGCGCCTCACGGTGTACGACGACAGTTGTGAGAGTTGTGGCATTGGTGTCGGTGTCATGCAGTGACGTGACGCACTCAAAGCAAGACAAGGGCCACAGATAACACCAACAGAAGTCACTGTTGCTGTACAACGTCAACGCGAACAACGGCGAGCACTTTGACGCGCTCTCTATTTCCATTCGTCCACTTACTTTATTACAACGGACGTGCGGGTGTTTGCGGTTATTTTTTATTTTTTTTTTTTGGCTCGGCTCGCTTTTCCTTTGTCTTTTGACCATGTTCAGGTTGATTTGTGGTTAAAGCTGTTTTGTGCTGGCAGCGAATGTGGCACGCTCGTGACAAGCGAACAAAATAACAATGGCGAAGCAGGCGAGTGATTAAAAATTACTCATACGCCTTTGGGGAAGAAGTGAACTAAGTAAAGACTTTTTTGTGTGAAATAGAAAAAAAATAGAACTAAGCTAAGGTGCAGAAGTGAATAACCTTAAGAAAAATATTATTGAAAGTACACACTTGCTTAGTGCGCGCACAGCGCAACGACATTGATTAGCATTAATTCCCAGTGTTTTCAGTGTTTGGCTCAAGCTTTGTTGTGCCACCACAGCAATGTGTGTGTCTAAGTGTTTGTGTTTATATGTAAAGCAATTTGCTATAAATGCTGTGAAAATGGCAAAAACTTAACAAACAACGCTTGCGAACTTCTTTTCCCCAAACATATGTAATACTTGATGCATACTTTGCGGCGCTTAACAACATTGAACCACCACGAAATCCTTGACCTGAACCAATGCCGACGCTGAAACCTAAACTTCAACAAAACCAAAGCATATCGACGGCAACCAGACAAGTTCATGTAACAGCAGCAACAACAACAGAAACACTAGCACAACTGTAATAATAATAACAAAGACGGAAGTAGCAACTACAAATTACACAAGCAAAAACTAATAAGTGCACTAATGTCTAAACCAAAGTTCGCCAACAAAATATATAGATTTCCTGCTAAAGACATCCCGCAGCTGGGAAAACTGCACACATTCCCATGCAAATGGATGCCTGTCGGCAGCGGCTCCGTGTTTGCTACGCTGTACGTCGCAAAGTTAAGGCACACAGCGCTTACATAAAAGATAATAACGGCAAATTAAGTGCAACACAGCCAACGAACACAGCCATAAACCGTACAACAACACTAGCAACAACAGCATTAACAACTGCACTAAGTTTAGCGTTTAAGCCAGCAACAAAAGCGCACAGCAGCCACAACAGCGCGTCAGCTGTGCGTCGCCCGACAAGCTCAGCGTATGCGTGTGGAGGGGCACAGCGGCCAAGGGGGGTGAAATCTGTGCAACGCCAGTGCAAGTGTAGCGCACAAGCACAGCTGACACTGGTGGCAGTAAACGTTTGTGCTTGCAATTATAGCCGCGGCGAAGGAACTAGCGTTCACGCCCACCTGACAGCCATACGCGCCACATTGAACCTGCTTTACCACGTGTTTGTTGCTGTTGGTGTAGCCTTAACGGTATTGCTACAACGTTGCTGTGTTGGCAAGGCGCAAGCTAGCTCCAAACGCACACAGACGCATTTATCGTTAGCCCATTCATTGCGGCCGGCTGCTGGAAAATCCCATTGGCCGCAAACGCGCCACACACCGACTACAATGGGCTCATGTTTCGGGCGCTGCGTGTCGAAGGATGCTAATAGCGGCGGTGTGGCCTCCACCGCAACATCCTGTTTGTGGTAAGTGACGCGCGTTCGCGCTTAATTAAAATGTAATTGCGACGGCGGGATGAGTTTCAGTATCATGAGTGTGTATGAAGTCGAAAATTTCCACAACACACACACTCGCATATCACTGCCATTTTGTTATGCCGCTATGCGCCAAATTGGTAGTTAATTAAATTTGATCTAATTTAGCAGAAGTAGCCTCATACCTTACACACACATACACAGCACAGCTTCATTTCTAATACAGCTTCACGCGCTTATTGACATGGATACCTATTTTAATGGAAATTTTTAAATAAAAGCACTCAACAACATTAAAATGTCGCCGGAAAAAAGTTTGAATGCAGCCAAATATTGTTTTTCGCTTATTATGAATATATTAGGGTGGACCAAAAAAAATATTTCAACTGTTTCTACTTGACTAGCAAGAGATGTTTTTCCGCAATAAAAAAAAGATAAAAAAGCATTAGAAACTATAATACTTTTCACAAATGTAAATAGTTTCTATACAATAACTTGCTTTTGTTCTGTTGGTTTGTATGGCAGCTATATGTTATAGTGGTCCGATCTATAAAAGTTTAGTCAAGTATTGCATCATTATCTTGGATATTAGTCAATGCCAAATTTCGTGAAAATATATTCTTTAATTAAAAAGTTGTTCATACCGAGAACCGATTTTGATCGGTTAGTTTGTATGGCAGCTATATGCTATAATGATTCGATCTGAACCATTTCTTCGGAGATGATAGTATTGCTTTGGTAAATAATTCATGTAAAGTTTCGCGAAGGCAGCTTCTCTAATAAAAAAGTTTCTCATACTATAACTGTAGTTTGATCGGTCACTTTGTATGACATCTCTACGCTACAGTGATCCGATATGAACAATTTCTTCGGAGACTGTACCATAGTCTTAGAAAATAATTGCTGCCAAATTTCATGCGGATATCTCTTCAAATAAAGAAAGTTTTCATAGAAGAACTTGATTTTGAACGTTCGGTTTGTATGGCAGCTATATGCTATAATGATTCGATATGGACTTGATTTCCACAATTCAGCAGCTTCTTGGAAAGAAGTGGATGTAAGCAAAATTTCAGAACGATATCTCTAAATCAGAGTAACTAGTTTGCGTATATAACTACAGACGAATCGAGGAACAGACGGCCGGACAGATGGACATGGCAAAATCGACTCAGTTCCTCACGCCGATACTTTATGTACATTCTTTATAAAAGAGTACCCTTCGGCTTCTAACAAAGTAATTCCTCAAAATCAATAAATAATGAAAATTTGTCTTTTTGGGATCACCCTAAAATGGAGTATAGTATAAATGTTTAATGTGCGTATATATCAAAGAAGTTCATGTATATTTATATTTGTGTTTGTATGCATTGTACAGCATCTCTTCCTTGGCAACAAAGTAATATGAGTAACTGCTCTTCATATCCCATAATTGCTTGATTGCTTTGGCATCACTTGCCATTCCACGTAACTCTCCTCAATACTCATCACTTTGTGATTTGTCTATTTTCTTTTACGCAAGTGAAATTTATTCAACGGCTTCGGCTGCAGCATTCTCTTAGGCACCTCCTAGCAGCTTCTCGCATCATTGTATGACCTCTAGTATCACATTTCTATTTGAATCACTTGACTAGAGCTTGTTTTCATATACCTATGTATATACTTAAGTAAACATACTATTAGGGATGTTCCTGTTTGCAAATATTGCAAAATGTGACTCATATCATCATTTCCTATATTCTCCCCTTAGATTATAGCACCTCGCATGGTTTCTGCCAAATCGGTTGTGCAATCTGCCTGAGTGGGGGTGTTTCTTGATACGTGGTTACTTCTTGGAAACTTTTTAATCTTGACGTCTTGACCCATGTTAAACTTAACCTCATTCGATCTGGTAGATTTGGTGCGACAGTTATAAGCACAAAATGGTAGCTTAATAGAAACTGACGTCTTTTGCTGACTAAACACATATGTAGTATTAGAAAATTTCCTCGAAGTCTGTGGACGATACCTTTGACGCACTGGGATCACCTATACTTTCATAGCTATGTACAACATGAGACTGCTAACTAGCATGAGCGGTTATTGAATATCGCAAATGAACTCACCACGTCGCCAAAGGGATTCTTTGAGGAATTTAGTGCATCCCAAAACCTCTCTGAAACTATCCGTCTAGCAGCTGAACGCTATAGGACTGCTTATTGGTTATTTCCAGCCATCCTTAATATCTAAACGGCTTTCACTATCGGCAACCTGACCTGTCCGGTTTTCTATGGCTCAGCATTCGCAGATTATCACAAATCCGAGACCCAATGTAACTAATGTCGCTAAATTGTCCACTTTTCTCAATATGCAAAACGCTATCATATAAATCTTTCCACAAAGAATGGAGTAAGGAAGGAATTAATAACTCTTTTTTACTGAATTTTTAGCGAAACTATGAAAATATGGTACTATACACTCCTCCTGTCATGGAATCATACGTCCGAAATGCACTCTGAGATACCGAGATCTCAAAGTACTAAATTGCAACGGAAGCTCTGAAATCTAATATTCTTCTTCTTTATTGGCGTAGTAACCGCTTACCCGGTTCTCAAATCTAGTAGCTCGGATTATTTTCGCTTTCAGCGCTAAATACATTATTCCCGACAAAGTAAGACACCCCTAATATTCACTGTGCCAAGTTTGTAAATATGTACGCACTTAGTAACGTCAGCGTATCTCTCTCAGCCCTCTTATCACAACCTCCACTCAGTGTCTTTCACTGGCTTTCTTTATTGTGTCTGTCTTCCTTCATAAAATAAAGTAAACTCTCTTTTATAGATATTCTTTCTCATGCCACGCATACAACTTAATTAGACTGTGGTAATTTCAAATGCACTCAAAGGCATCTTTAAGCAGCAACATTGTGAATTAACGTCTGTGATAAAATTCTTGGCATTTCGGCTTTTGATGGGGACTAAAATATTTCTTTTATTAAATTTCGTTGGTTTAAGGCTTTAGTCGATATCATAAAGCGGTTTAGTTATGTCGTCTTTAAGGTCAGGTTAATTGGAATGAGATTTTGACAACTGTTTACAGTTTCACATGTTTTAGCCCGTGGAGCTCAGCTCAGCAGTAAAGGATCCATTTGCAGCAGACGACCATAGGCTATCATTTGAGACTTAAACATGAATTAATATCAACACACTCTTGAAAAACGGGCATAAAAGTATTACAAAAGAATACAACGGTTTGAAATATCGATGAAATCGTGACTTTTCGGAATAAAATGTTGACTCATGGAGTACCTGTGGATTGCTGTCTGACCAATAACGCATACTTTGAAATGAATCTCTTCGCTGAAGATGATTTTTAGATCAAAATCCGTATCATTTTCAAGTTGCTCTCAATTTGATCTTGTAAGGATGTATCCCAAGACCTTTTCCAATGTTTGAGACCGACGTGTGAGAGACTGATTTAGATCATCCTCAATTGATGCGCTAGCGGCTGCAATATTCTCGACACTACTGGCACTTATTTGTCTCACTGGCACGGGAACATCTTGTACTGTGGATTCAAATTTTTCCACTAGACGCTCAGTTGTTGATATGACAGCACGATTATGACGACCATAAATTGGACGTAGCGCTTTTTTAGTTGAGACCACTGACCGAATTTCTGTTGTAAATTTTAATAATTTCGACTCGTTGTGGGTGCGTATGATGCCATGATGAAATGGCAAACCTCAGTGAAGAGGAATGTCAAAGGAGTTACGTAATTTGCTGCCTTTATCGGTCTACTTTTGTAGCGTTCCTATTGAAAAACGCAGTGGTATAGTTATTAACAGTTTCCTATTGAGTTTTTTAATTGTTAGTCAGAATAGTGTGAAGGAGATATTCTCATCGGGACTCAGATAGGGTCACATATCGTTTCATAGTTCCAACTACTTCCAGATGACAGTCAGAAGTTCTCGGAAACATTTTTTTCGTTTTTACCGAAAATAAGGAAAATTTTATGAAATGGCGGTCTACCGTTTCAGTACAGTCGGTTCTACGAAACCGAAACGAACCCGGATAAATATGTGGCCAAAGACTATTAATGCTACAAAACGTCAAAAATGATTTGAAATTTACTTGATGATCTCTCTAACCATAATTTATTCCAAATCGATATTATCAGCTTGGAATAAAAGAGTCGGTAAATTTTTAAGAATTGAAACGTAAACAGAATTGCATAATCTATACGACGATCTCGACAGAAGAAAAACAAAACTCGATGAAATGAGCTGCCTGGGTTCAAAACTGCAATAGTCATGTGCATAACGTTAGATCTGAAGTACACAGCATTCCTCTTGGAACTCAATATAACAGGCTGTAAGAACATACTGTTACTACAAAGGGCTAAAACCTGATCTTTCAGAACTGAAGCAAGATTTACAGAATCCATTTTACAAAACTTTAATCCACATCCACACAGGTTAGTTTTAACGTAATCGAACTCGAGTACCGCACTCCTCAAATCTGAAACTGAGCACAACCGATCATTCCACTTAATGCTTTGGGCAAGACTCCCGAAAGCTTTAAATAAATCCAAACTTACTACCAGAGCTAGATACAATACTTAATTGGGTCACTGCTTGCGAATGCTCTTAGCCAACCACAAGCCGCACGCTGCCTGGCGCTTGCAGCGACGAGCAGACACAATAGATTTTTGGCACTGTGCGTAGGATAGTGAACGACCACGCGGCGACCGCACGAACCTTGGCTTAAAATAAACACATAAATATGTAGCTTTTATCTCGACAGACAGACACACACACAGACACAAAAACCGCACCAAGTGCATCTTCAACCACAATCCGATGAGACACACTTGAGCTGCATATGAAATGCCTAAACTGGCGCAGATTTACTCGACTGCCAAGTCGTTGAGTTAAAGGATGAGGTGGGGTGGGTATGTTAGAAGGCGAGCATACAAATGTTTTATGCTGTGCTGTGCAAATACCCAAGGGTTCAGTGGCCTAAAAGTATACTACAAGTGGCAAATCCATGCAACATGTTTTACCATCGTGGCGCAACAAGCGTTTGCGGGAAGGGGCGCTGATGACAGCGGTGCTCATTAACTGCTTTGTTTGGCAGCGAAGCGCGTTTAGTGCTATCATTGCAACCCCGTTTCGTTGGCAAATGTCATAACATATGCCTTATTTCCATTAATACATGACTGCACACAGACAAACAAATACGAGTGCGCACGATTGCAAGTGTGTGTGTGTGTGTATGTGTTGATGGCGATTTTTATTTGTTTTCAACTCTTCAGCGCGTGCTATGCATTCATTGTTGAGCAGAGTGTTTTCTACTTATAGGCGTCGACAGCAACATGCAACAGATGAACAAGAAACGGAACTCGTGTCGAATGCGAGCGACAAATGCCCGAGAGAGAATTTCATATATCGCATTATTAAATTCAAAACGAAGGTGAGTGTGAAAGTGAAATAATGTAGTATTAAAAATAAAAAAAAAATCTGAAAAATATAAAAAAAAACATTGCTTGCAACGGCATGCTTCTCATTCTTCTCTTAGCAAAAGCGGCCACAGTTCATTGACAAGTTCTGGGAGCAAAAGGATATGCAATACACGAAATTGCCTAACAGAAGTGCAACCGAAGGGTAAGATAATATATTCGAAGTTTTCCAAACGAATCTTGATTTTCTTCTTTGTTTTAAATGTTCGATCGATCGTTTTGTGTTTTTATTTGTTGAAGAAGGAATGTTGTAACTTTTGAGACAAGCTTCAAAACGCAAGACCAAGACGATACGTTGAATATGTTTTGAGTATGTTGTATCTTGTCGAACATACTAACTCCCAACTCTTTCGTAGACAAGAAATTCAGTTGTATAAGTCTTTAATTTCAAATATTCAAACGTAAAGGTACATTTTTCAAAAGCTTTTTTTTTTTTTTTTGTTTTTGACAAATTCCGCGTGAGTCGTGTCAAGCTGTCATGTCATTTTTCTCCAGTGTTATTTGGCATTTCATGATGAAAAGAAAAGACTTAAGCCTGAGCAACGTTTAAAAATCGTTCAACTTTATTACGAAAATTCACCTTCTGTTAAGAATATGTTTCACGCGATTCGCTCAACTTTTGGTTAACATAATCGCCATCACACATTAAGTCCAGCCCGCAGGGAAGAATATACTTGTATAGTAGCCGTAGCTCAGGGTGTACGCGAAAACCGTCGAGACTCGATTCGGCGCCGTTCGCAGGAACTCGTACTGACGTATGGATCCTTTTGGCGCATTTTACGTTCAGACCTCAAATTGAAAACTTACAAAATTCTGCTTGTAAAAGAACTGAAACCGCTCGACCTACCCAAGCGACATCGCTTCGCTCTGTGGGCTCTTGAAAAGTTCCAAAAACATCCGACGATTTCGAGCCACATTTTATTGTGTTCAGCGATGAAGACGAATTTTGGCTCAATGGATATCTAAGCAAGCAAAATTGCCGCATTTGCGACGAAAAGACACCTGAGAAGTTTCAAGAGCTGCCATTTCATCCAGAAAAGACAACATGGTGTACGTTGGAATTGGCGGTGGAATCGTCGCTCCATATTTTCTCAAAAATGATGCCGGTAAGAAAGTAGCCGTCAATGGTGAATGTTATCGCGTCATGATAACCGACTATTTGATACCTGAAATTGAAGCACGTGATCTCGATGACATTTGGCTCAACAAGATGGCGCCGTTTCCCACACATCGCAACAATCAATGGATTTATTGAAAGACCACTTCGGTGAGAAGATAATTTCTCGTTTTTGTACGGCTGCCTTTTTTTGCATGTCGCGCCATCTTGTTGAAAAGAAAGGTTGTGAACAACAGCATCCTTCAACATAGGTACGAAAAAGTCACTAACGATGGCTCTATAGTGTCCCTCATTGCCTTGAACATGATGGCTAACTTCATTTTTGTATAATATGGACTGATGATTCTTCATAGAGCACACCAAACAGTGAGGATGAAACGGCATCTTAAAAATGGCTTGTCGATCATCATCACACCAAATGCGACAATTTTGTTTATTTTGTATCCCTTAGACCAAAATTTTCTTCTGAAAGTTGGGATCTGCGGCCATCTCATTTTGGGCCCGAATATTGGAAGCAGCACAAAGAAGCCGAAATGAATCATCATTTTGATAACAAATTTAAAAGATTTGCCAACGTTGTTAAGGAAGAAGTTTGTTATTATGAAATGTCAAACCAAACTGAATATAAATCAAGTTAAAGCTTTGACAAAGAGCTTCTATATATTAACATATATAAAACATATTCCTTAGCTTCCGATTTGGCTAAAGCCCGATAACGGCTGCATTGCTTTTCTGAAAGGATAACTTTATCCACAGTTTCCTAAACTCTGGATCCAGAAGCTCTGCATCATGTCTGTGAGTCTCTAAACAGAACCTCCCTCAATATCCATGTACAAAGAATCTGTACTACTTATATAAGGAATTGTATGGGCTACACGCTAAAATTAAAAACCACTTGTATATAGAAATTATCATAAATGAAATTTTTTAATAACTGTATATTCTTCTTAACCCTTTTCTTATCAATTGACACGAACGCCGTTTATAAAACCGAAGTATTCTTATTCTCCCCAGCCTCTCTGACATTCAACTTCAGAACCTCGACGTACACAATTTACTCAGCAACGCCATTTTCGCAAAGGAGTCAGCGCTCAATTACTGCCTGACCGAAGCTCAATACGCCGCGGCCAGCTCGCGCGCCAGTTCCTCGCTCGATCTGGAATGGGAACATGAGTACGCGCACATGCGTCAACTCTATCAGCCGCCACCGCACACGCATCGCAGCACACAATCCCTACTACAAGCTAGCACACTCAACAGCAACAACAACCTCGCGCAATACACCAACGGCAACAACACACCGATACATCACATGCACACGCTCAACAATAACCACCACACACTGAGTCTGGACAAACGTAGCCACACTTACGACAATCATCCGCTGCACGTGCACGTCAACAATTCATGGCAATACCTAAGCAACGACGATGAGCAGCTCAGCTCATTGGCTTCATACTCGCAATCGATGTCGCTGCCGCACGCGCCACTAAACGCCGCAGCAATGGCGCTGGCGACGGCCAAATCAGTTGAGCGTGGTGAACAGCGCATGCGCACCCGTCGTGTGGCGCCACCGCCGATCAATGAACGACGTAACAGTTCCTTTACGCGCACCTCTTCGTCGCACAACTCATGGTCGCACATCTCGACGCCGGAGTCGCTCGAATGGGATCAGGATGAGGAGCAGCAGCGGCAGCTGCGTGTGGAGGACGACAATTTGGATGACGAGACGCTCGAGCTGCTGCATCAGATTGAACAATTGAAGAATCGCGTATTAGACGAAACCGGCGATGGACTCTACGATGACGGTCCGGTAGCTGCGGGGGAGAGCGAAGCAGGCGAAGGTGTACAATTTATGATCGGTGGACAGTACAGTGCAGAGGATGGACGCAAAGATATCAGTTGATCAGCTGCATGCGGCTTGCGGTGCATGAGAGGAATTTGAGTAGGAGTTAGGTTCTGTACTGTATAATCAAGTGCCTAGACTAAAGTATCATTATATATTACAAATAATATTTAATTACAGTTACTGTTAATGTTAGTCTAAAAGCTATTACACACGGTCATGGCAATAAAGTTTCGTTAGTGTGCGCGTACGTTTCGGCTTGGTTGTGCTGAAACATTGAAGGTATAGTGAATGCCTGTAACAGCTGTCAGCAATGTTTGGTTCACAACTGCGAGAATCCATTTAAAATAGTTCCCTCATTTACGGGAATATGTCGACTTTATGATACGACAAATTTATTTTCTCCATCATATCTCCACCAGTCATCAGAATCTACTAACAAAAGGAGCAGTTTATAATGAATAGAGCTTAATATACTTTATAAGGTTCTCGTTCGGTTCATTTACGGTCTTGTTATCCATAACAAGCCAGCTGTTATGAACCCATATTTCTTGAAATTTTTTTGTTCCTCCAAATGACGTAAGAATGCACATATCGGTTGATAATTACAAACTTATGAGAAAACTGGATGAATCCTAGAAGCAAATTGCCATGACCGTTCTGTCTCATATGAGTGTTATCGAAAATAAATTAAGTATGGAATCCAAAGTCGAGGTATAAATGTGTACGCAGTTAAAATATTTAATAAATTTTTGTAGTTGTAATGTATCATAGTGTTGAGAAGACTTCCAAGGCGAATAATAATGTTGAAACTTAGACAGCATAAGCTAAGCGGTTACTTTTTTAGAGTCGAAGCATAGTATATAGCTTGCACCATTAAAATAATGTTATTGATTTTGATTGATCACGTATATATATAAATAGTATACCGGTATACTTGTGGTACCGATCTGTCATGTCTATATCATGCAATTCCGGCCACAAATATTCGGTTATCATTGAGCGGTAGCGATTGAGTCAATTTGACGTTGTAAGGATGTAGGCCAAAAAAATTTCGCAAAATTCGCCACAATGACGTCACAGAGATGCCCAATGCTTGAAAACGACGTGTGAAGGACTAATTTGAGTCTTCCCAATAGCAATATTCTCGACACTACGGGCACTTCTTTGTCTCACTGGCACGGCAACATTTTGTATTATACTTCCGATTCCACCAAGCACAGAGCATTGCCTTCTTACCGAGTCGATCTGTTTTTTCAGTTGCTGTTGACGACTGTCCCGAATTAACCATCGCCAGTGACAATTCGATTCAATACTGATTTTTTTTTTCGTTTCTTTGAAACAAAGTTTCACAGTTTATATATATTCTCCTTTTTCATCCAATATACAAGTATTTTTCCATATTTCGAGCACGATCTCTTGAGCTATATATTATTGAAAACAATCCACTTTTCGGCGTCAGTAAAAATGCGCTTCTAAAATGGATCACTTCATTGACGTTTTATAAGCAAATCTCAGTCGTTCTGTAAGAACATGAAGATTCCACATGTCAAACTTCCGAATTAATCCTCACATTTTATGTGCTTGTGAACGGTCGCCAATTTTGATTCCAGCATTTCCATCGACCAACGACTTTATTTTATCCTCATCGGCTTCAAGAGTCCTCCAGCACTTGGTGTATCCTCGAGATCGAAAATATCGGAACGAATTTTTTGAAATTAATTATGTCATCTCTTCCGTACAGATCACAAAAAATTTGTCTTAAATTGATTTGTATTTTTACCTTTTTGATAGGAAGAGCGTAAAATATGCCGAATATATTCCATCTTCGACAAGGCAGCAAACAACAACTCTTTCAAAAAATTTAGGTAATTGGAAGATTTCAAAAAACATAAAAGCTTCCATAGCGCGATAGCGAATGACGTTAAAAATATTCTCTCTCTTGGAACTAGATATCTTCAAAACTCTTCCTTTGTGAGTGGAAACCGTTTTGAAAAACAACATTGTGAGAAAAACGCGTTTAAAAGTTGGAGTAGCTTTCAAAGTTTGATTGAATTTTTACTACAGGGTATACTATCCGATAATGCAAATAAAAAAATCGATTTTTCGAAAATTTTACATTGAGACGATCCCTTAAGTCTTTGAACCCATTTCTATAYACATACATACATAGAGGCTATTTTGCATTGTAAAAGTAGTTTTACGAAGCCGTTGGGTTTGGAAACGATGAATGAGTGTTTTTGGCAACACTCTTCTTTAAAATTTTGATTGGCCCACTGTACTTTGATATTCATATCTACAGATTTCGGAGGACCTCAATCTCCAAATCTACTTTCCTTTGTTTTCAAACGAGATGAAGTCTTTTTTGTTATACCTTTCAAAGTAAAAAACAATTTTAGACTGATCAATATAGATTCAAGGACCTTAATCCGAGCTTCTTATGGATTGATCTCTCTGAAATTGTCTATTATTTTTATCTCACAACCGGCTTTTAAGAACATAAGCACCAGAAAACAAACAAGTAAAGATATATTTTAAACAAGAAACTCTCAGAAGACCCTAAAATACTAGACCATATCCCATTTTATAGATTTCTAAAGTACCGTTAAACACTAACAGTTAACAAAAATCGAACCACTACATATGAAATAAAACAAAATAACAAACACGTGAAAGACTAAGCAAAGAAGCTACGACAAGGTAGTCCAAGAAACTAGTTTAAAGATTTGAGGGACGACTATGGAGTAAGCAAAAGAAACGATGAATTATATATTGTTATTATTTTATTTAAATTAATTATAAAACGAAGCAGTCGTTTAACGTTCGCGCATGAGTACACATTTAGAAAACTTAGCAACTAATATTAAAAATACAAACAAAAGCAAATAATATATGACACGTTGTTTATAAAAATATAAAATAAAGCATAAAAACGAAATAGATTTACATTAATAACAATTCAAGAAATTTATGCACAAAAGAGTGTCGATTATTCGTTGTCTTCGGATGATCGATTTTAAGCTGTATGTATTTGGTCGTTAAGTTTGTTTAACCAAAAAGACCTGAAGCCTTCTTTTTGAATGAGTCCCATATGCCAGAGCTCTCCGGTTCAGCCGTAACCTCGATTTGCTACAAAAAGAGAAGGTCATTTAGACACATGCTAATACTGAAATTGAAGCTAAACTTACTGCATTCGCTTCGGTGCTGGACACCTGCTTCTGGCTGGCACCGCGGTGGGGTGCCACAAATGTGCCCTGCAGATCCTCGACCTGCACGTCTTGTTGCTGTTGCTGCTGATCCCATGCGTTTTGTTTGTAGTCGCCTAGTTCTACTTGTTGTTGTTGGCCAAAATCTTCAAACTGTTGCTGCTGTTGTTGCTGCTGACGATGGCCATAACCGCCATGACCATGCGCACCGGAATGTGAGCTATGCGCTGATGTAGCGGAAGAAGACGAAGACGACGAAGATGAGTAACCGGCGGCTCCACCACGTCCATAACTGCCTTGCACTTGCTGCTGACCATGCCAACCCAGATCGACTTGTTGCTGTTGGCCGCCATCCTCTAACTTGCCATTCCAACCAAGCTCTACCTGTTGTTGTTGCCCGAAGTCATCCACTTCCTGCTGTTGTTGCTGTGTATCGAATTCACGCTCACGTCCGTAACGTGCGCGTCCCGCACCACTAGCACCGGTTGCATCAACTTCACTCAAAGGCACAGTAAATTTGTATTCCTTCTTGCTGTAACGGTAACCACTTGTTTGTCCGCCCGCGCCACCGCTTGGTGCAGGTCTAACGTAAGCTGGGTATTGTGTAGTCGGTTCGACTTTCATTTCCGCAGATGGTGGTGGATACAAATTGTTATCTTGACCGGCCAAGCCAGGCTCTTCAACATCAACATTATCCTCGTATACATGCGGTGGTTGATCGCCACGATCCTTCGAGATCACTTGATGTGGCCAAGCGGTGCGATTGGTCGAACCGGCACCAATTTCATGGCCGCCAAAGCCAGTACTACCGTCCATAGGTAGCAAACCCTGAGAGAGCAGATAAAGAATGCGTCGCCATTGAATGAGTTCTTCATTTCTCAAACCGGACTTGCGTCCTAAGTCTGCCATACGTCGCGCCTCCTCCGTACTCCACTTCATACGCTCAACCTCATTGGTGGTCTTCTTGTGCATTACGAAATCAATGTAGCGCAATTCTTTTTCGCGGAAGTTCTGCAGTTGATTCAGCTGCCAACTGTAGTGTTCGGCCAATCTTAAGAAACGCTCGAACTCATTAATTTGCCAGTCTTTCAGTGCCTGGGTGGTGATGCCATAGCTGGCGGCCAACTCGTTAAGGACGACATCCTGACGTTGCCAGTTGCGCAGATTCTTCAAGCTGAAGTTTTGATTCCTAATCAAATTATAAAGGCGATCACGTTCGCGTTTCTGCCATTTCTCGAGCGTTAACAGCTGTATGTTGTCCAAGAGACCTTCACGCTGCATATGATCGATTTCAATGCGTTGGAAGGGCGCCAATTGTTCAAGTGTGGTGCCGTAGAGTTGTGCCAATCGGTTCTGGTAGTCGATGTCGGCAGCAATATACTCGAGGAATTCAATTTGTGTAATGCTGATGTCTTTAGCGATAGCACGTAAACGTTCACGTTCCTGCTTTTGCCAATTATTGTAGTCCAAATTCTGATGTAGGTCGCGTACAAGTCCCAGTTCGCCGAGACGTCTCAACTCATTACGTATCCACGATTCGAGCTCTTCAATAGAGACATGGTATTCATCGGCCAAGTTATTGAGCGTATTTCTGTCACGCAGAATTTGTTCTTCCCACACTGTGACAGTCATACCTGGTTGACGTGTGACCAGGCGGTAAAGTCGGTCCTTCTCACGACGTTGCCAATCGACCAAGCTTTCGGTTACGATTTTATTCTGATCTAATAGACGTCGCAACTCTTGTTGGTACCACGCTTCAACCTCCTCCACTGTCACATGATATTGTATAGCCAACTGACGCAAATGCTCCTGATCTTCTTTCAATTGTCTTTCGAGTTCCTCAATCGACCAGCGCTGTTGTTTGCGTAGACGTTCATTAATTAGATTCTGTATGTACTGATTTTCGTGAATCTCCCATTCTTCAATTATTTCCGAACCAGTTATGACACCTTGCTGATTGAGCTTGTGCGCCTCACCGCGTAAGTACTCTTCGATCTCCTCCACGCTAACATCGTACTGGCGTCCGAATTGCTCCCAACGCATACGTTCCTTAACCAAGTAGTCTTCGAAATCTTGCCAACTCATCGGTACAGTTTGTGCGACGGCTTTCAAGTGCGCTAAGGTGTAAATCTTCCATTGATCGTTATCACTGTGTTGCTCATAGCTGATGTAATTCTGAGGTCGTTCAATCAGTCCAAGAATTTGCAGACGAGCACCTTCCTGCTGCACCCACGATTCCACTTCCTCGACTGTTACGTGATAATCGTGTGCGATGCGTTCCAAACGTTCCTTATCACGACGCAAGAACGCATTGAACTCCTCATAGGTGGTAGCATTGTTCTGCTGATTCAGCCAGTCTTGTAGGTGATCGCGTTCGGTTCTCTGCCATTGTGTCAATTGTTCCACTTGCAGCAGACCGGAGTTCTTCAAACGTTGCAGTTCATCGCGCATCCAGGTTTCGATTTGTTCTACACTTACGCTATACTCACGTCCTAACTTCTGTAGACGTTCGCGATCGCGACGCAGTTGAGCGTCGAACTCATCATAGCTGATACTGTTCTGTTGCTGCAATAGCATGTCAATCAAACGTTTCTGTTCATCGCTTTGCCACTGCGTGAGATTTTCCACCTGCACTTGACCAGTGGTCTTCAGATTCACCAACTGCTGGCGCAACCAAGTCTCAACCTCCTCAACACTCACCGAATATTGTTTTGCCAGTTCTTGTAAGCGTTGGCGCTCGTTGTTGAGCTCCATTTCGAATTCCACGTAGCTCAATTGATTGTTTTGACGTATGAGCTCCTTCAAGCGCTGCGCCTCGGCCACTTGCCAATCGGCCAGCTTCTGCACATGGTCGGCTGAGTCTTTGCGCAAACGCTTCAACTCTTCAATCATCCACTTCTCGATTTGTTCGACATTAACGCGATATTGATCAGCGAGCTGATGCAAATGCGCGCGATCCGCAAGCAATTTCTGCTCATAATCGGCAGTGGATAGTCCATTTTGGTATTGTTGAATCAATTGCTTGATGTAGTCACGCTCAACCAACTGCCAGCTCTGCAGATTTTCTACCTCGAATTTGCCCTTGTTGCGCAAATCATCAATGACCTTCTTCACATAAGCTTCGATCTCGACAACGCTGACGTGATATTGATTGGCTAAATTAACTAAGAAAACCTTGTCTTTCTGCACTTTCTGCTCGAACTCTTCCACTGTGATGGAGGACTGTTGTTGCAGCAAACTCAAAATGTGATCATGTTCCGCCTGCTGCCATGCGGTAAGTTTCTCTATATCGAGTTTACCCTGTTGACGTAAGCGTTCTACCTCCGATTGTATCCACTTCTCGATCTCCTCCACAGAGGTGTGATACTGGAAGGCCATCTTCTGCATATGTTCACGATCTTGACGCAGCTCACTCTCGAATTCTTCAACGCTCCATACCTTGTTTTGTTTGATCAGCTCTTCGAGACGCTCACGCTCCGCAATTTGCCAGGCGGTGAGGTTGTCAATTTGTAGCTGACCATCATCACGCAAGCGCGCCAACTCCTTCTTCATCCACTGTTCGATTTCTTCCACTTGTACGCTGTAGTCACGTGCCAGCTTCTCTAGTAACTCACGATCTTGGCGTAAACGCTGTTCCAATTGTTCAGTGGAGTGATATTGTTCCTGTGTGATACGTTCCAAGTAACGACGTTCTACCTCTTGCCAGTTGGTGAGCTTCTCATTCGGTTTCAACAATCCCATGCTGATGAATCGCTGTTCCTCATTGCGCACCCATTGCTCGATCTCTTCGATGTGCACATTGTGCTGCATAGCAAGATCTTGCAGACGCTTGCGGTCTTCCAGCAGCCACTTGTGGAACTCTTCTACTGTAAAGTCACGCTCTTTGACCATGTTTGTGAGATTGCCACGCCATTGTGACTGCCAGTCCTTAAGTTTTTCGATTTCAATCAAGCCTTCTTGTTGCAGTCTATGTATCTCATTCTTGATCCATTCTTCGACCTCTTCCACACGTACTTGGTTCTGATGCGCCAATGTATAAACGTGTTGGCGATCCTTTTTGATACTCTCTTGCAATTCGTCAATGGAGAGGTTATTCTTGTTAACGAGTTCAAGTAGACGATCACGTTCATTTTTCTGCCAATTATTCAACTGTTCTTGTATCTGCAACAGACCCAAACTCTGCAGACGTTCACCTTCCTTCTTGATCCAACCTTCGATCTCAGATGTTTGTACGTTGTAAGTCTGTGAAAGGTCTTGCAGGCGTTGCCTATCGGCCAACAACTTCTTCTCGAATTCTTCAATTGTCAACTTGTTCTCTTGCACAATCTTCAAAATTTGCTCCCGCTCTTGCTTCTGCCAGTCTTTTAAGTCCTCCACCTTTATTAGGCCCTCACCTTGTAAACGCAACAATTCCTTCTTCAGCCACTCTTCAATTTCTTCAACCTTGACCTGGTACATATTGGCCATTCTGTATAAGTAAGATTGATCATCTTTGATTTTCTTCTCCAGCTCTTCAACTGTCAGTTCATTTTGTTGAACGATGGCAAGCAAGCGTTCACGCTCCTTCTGTTGCCACACTGCCAACTCTTTCTCGACCTCTTTCAATAGACCCTGTGATTGGAAGTTTTTGATTTCATTCTTAATCCATTCCTCAACCTCGGACACTTGTATCTTATATGTTCTTGCCAAATCTTCCAATCGTGCGCGATCACTCATAATCTTCGCTTGGAATTCCTCAATGGTTAAATCGTTCTTATTCACAATCGACTTGAGATGTTCATGTTCACGTCGCTGCCACTCTTTGATATCCATTTCGAGTTTAGTCTGACTCTGACTGTGCAAACGCTCCAGCTCAGCGCTTTGCCATTTCTCGAGCTCCTCCAGACTAACATGGTATTTCGCAGCCAACGACTTCATATAGTTGCGATCGCGTGCCATTTGCGCTTCCAAGTCTTCCACTGAACCACGGTGCTGTTTAACCACATTCTCTAAACGTTCACGCTCAGAACGTTGCCATTCCGTGACACGTGTCACCTCAGTGCGATGTTCATTGATTACGCCATTCAGACGCGCCAGTTCATCCTTCAACCACTTTTGCATATCCTGTACATTGCCGCGATACTGCTTACCCAAATCTGAGAGCTTTTGTTGGTCCAAGCGTATAGATTTCTGGAGTTGTTCAATTGTGGCATTATGCTGACGAATCAACTCCTCCAAACGTTCCTGCTCGTTGGTGCGCAGCGAACCCGAATTTATTGGCCTTGAAATCATCGAATTATTTTGGTCATTGAAGTAAGCGTACAACCGATTCAACTCTTCGATTTGCCAGTTCTTCAGCTCCTGCAGCGATATGTTGTACTGACGTGCCAGTTGCACCAACTTGTCATTATTTTCGCGCTGCCAGCGTTCGAGCTCTTCACGTGTCACGCTATTCTGATGTATCAGCCAGTCTAAGCGTCCTGCTTCGATGCGCTTCCAGCCGGTAAGATTGGGGTTTTGCGCCTGATATTGACCCAACAGCACGCGATAACGATCTAATTCGCTACGATGCCATTCCTGTATAGCCTCAATAGTGGTGCCGTGGCGCTCAGCCATAGCTAGTAAGCGCTCCTCTTGCTGTCGCTGCCATTCCTCCAAGCGTTGTGGTGTAACATTACCCTGTGACAGGAACCAGAAGAAACGTTCGCGCTCTTCCTGCTTCCAAGCCTCACCACGTGGCACAGACCATTCACCAAATGGACGCTGTGAGTCGTAGACAAGCTTGCCATCAACCCACTTGCGATTCAATTCGGAACCGCTAACGGTATTTGTGCCATCAGGATTTGTAATAATTGTCTTATTATAACGACGTACGGTCACTGTTGAGCCGGGTGAGAAGCTTGGTCGAAATACTTGATTGTCAGCGCCGAAAGTTTCTACATCAGCATTCAAACTGCCCGCAATGGGGGACTGTGGTACTGGTCTGTAAGCACCCATTTGCCAATCTGAACTGCCTGCAACGTTCACCACTGGTTTATAACCCAACACACTAGGTTCCATATTTTGATTGGCCCAATCATAAATCTTATGTCGAACAGTGGTGGTCGTGCTGCTACTGCCACTCGGTTGTCCGTAAACTGGACTTGGATACCGGTTGACGCCACCAGCAGTCAAAGAACCGCTGCTGTAGCCACCAGTGCCATAAGTGTAAGCGGGTGCGCCATCATTTGTGGTGATTGTGGTGCGATTGCGACTGCGTATTGTGACCAATGGGCTGCTGTAACTGCCATCACCGCTCACCTTCTTCGCCTCGGTGCAATTCTTATGCACCACATAAGTCTTGCCATCGATCACCTTTACTTCGGCTGGATAAGCATAGTTTCGTACTTCATCGAAATTGGATAGATCGACTGGTTGGAAGTGTCCAACATCGACTTCCTGCTGTTGTTGACCAAAATCTTCGTTAGTAGCAACGATGGACTCAAGCGTCTCGGCAGCCTTCGATTCGAAAAAGTTCGGCGCTGCAATCGTGGTGTAGGGCAAGAGTCCCTTACGCATATCGGTTAMGAGCTGTTCGCTCACATGTCGTACGAGTGCGTCCAGCTCGGTTGCGGTTTTGCCCGTCAAATTTATGATGTTTTCTGTGAAGCATAAGAAGAAGTGTTAAATTTGCGTTTAACCCGAAAAATAATATATTTCATTGTAATAACTCACCATCCCACGATGCGCCTTGTACACGATAACCCGTGCTGCTGCCCTGTGACATGTAATTGTATTCCAGCCGCAGACGACTTGCGAATTGACGCACCTCATTGAAGTGAGCATACGCCCAGGAACTTAACTGACAACATGACGTACTGCCGCCGACGCTTGAAGCGGACGACGAGGACGAGGACGAAGCGTAACGTGAAGAGGTCGAATAGCCGGACGTACTACCGACGCTGTAGGCATGAGTACGCAATTGCACCACGCAAAGTAGCGCCAATACAAGGCTCCAAGCCTTCATTTTCTTTGGATTTCAGTTGACTAGCTGAGTATGAGTCTGAAATGAGGTGTTGGAGAGGGAAAGAGAGAGAGTTTTAATAAAGTTAGGTAGGTACAGCTCATCTGTAAATACCCTTAACCTAAATTCAACCCAGCGTTCACTTTTCTGACATAATTCATAAAAGTGCTTGCGTTTCCGAACAGCAAGCCTCGATCTAACATATTTCGTCAACTATTATACAATGTAAGCCTTTCTATATTTAATTACAGATTTGTAAATGTTGAACAAATAACCACGTAAGCGTTTCTCGATTCAAAACGTGCGCTTATTTCATAACATATTTATGTCTGTATCTTTGTTGTAGAGTCTACATCAGCTATAATCGGTTCGGCGCTCCTTATGAATCAAGAAGTCTAGTTCACTTCTCAGTTATTTATTCTATACAGCACCAGAGTCGCGCTATTTACTTATTTTTATTTATTTTCATACATTCTCATCAGCCTTGATACGCATTTAAATAAACCGTTCGGCGATAAGTTATGTAGATGCGCTTTGGGAAAAGTTCAATATTGTGACCTCTGAAGCTTTAGACGCCTAGGTACACACAACCACATGCAAATGACGTTTTGGTGAGTACTTTTTGTATAAAAAAACAAATATTTTGAGTATAAATTTAGCATATTCTGTATTTAATTAAATTGTTTTGTTCGTTTTTTTACAAAAAACGCTGGAATGGGAAAAAATAAAAATATTCTGCACTGAAAGTTCGAAAATTAATAGACCTTACATCCGGCCAGAAACAAACAGTATTTGTCAGAAATACTAGAACTGATAAGACGGTTTATTGTCTCAGGTATATTTGTTTAAAAGGTTCGAATTTGTATTGAAATACATTCTATTGAATTTTGGAAAGCACTTAATTTCAGATTTTAAGTTAAAAAACACGCGGACAACTTTATGAAAGGTGTGAAAATGCCGAAACATATGTTTTTCTCACACAATATTATTGAAAAGATCACAAAATCTCGTTCCAAACTCAACTCTACTCTAAAAAAAACACACGATTTTATACTTGATCTAAGTTAGGTTAGCTGGCTGATTCCTCAGCATTGCGGGGGAACACACTTATATTGTTGAGTGTTATGTACAGTCCTTAGTAAATCCAGATGAAAAAACCACTTTAGTTAAACATGGATAAAGTCTATCGAACAAGTCAATTTCACCTAGATGCCTAAATAAATATGAGATCTGAAGTGTTTTTTATTTTCTTGTTTGTTCTGATACTACTTCTACACGATATATGTATGTAGCTGTCATACAAAGTAAAAGATTAGAATGAAGTCTTTTTAGGGAATATTCTTTTTATTTGACAAGGTACTTTCACAAAACCTGGCATGGACTATTATCCATGGACCCAGCAACTGAACTCCATCTGATATCGCAAAGGTCCAAAAGTGGTTTATGCGTGGTTTATTGGCCTACCAGATTAACTTAATCTAATATATTATTAATATTTCTTGATCTAAGCTACGAAAAAATGCGAAGAAGGAGACTGATATTGTGAGTGTACAAAATATTATGAGAAAAGTCTTGAAGACATGATCCATAATATATTATTGGTGTAAATTCTGTAAAAAAGTAAAACAAAGTCACTTTCGACCAAACCATTTTTTTTTTCATCGAATCTAATAAATTTTATAACACGACACACCCTTTGACTTAACCTCATGCGCCTGCGAGCAAATAAATTACACTAAAACAAGCATTAGAAGCTTTAAAGCACTGCATTTCCAACAAATTGCAACACTAATTATTTAATTTATTACAATTTCCGAAACCGAACAGTGCCTGCAAACATAAATCCTACAATGTGTCGCAGGAAAGTGCTGCAATGGCAAAGTAAAGAAACAAATAAAAAATTAAAACTCTGCAGATGCATTAGAAGTTATATGCAAACAAAATATTTAAGGTACTGAGGAGGCATGCCTTTATTTTGGAGAAATTGGGTCAACGGGCGCGCGCCAAAAATAGACGCAACAAGCGAAGCACTTGAAAATGAAATTTTCCAAATTAAATAAAACTGAAAAGAAAGTCTACGCCAAGATGCCACTTCAGTGTGCTGCAACACAGAAGTGCAGCGAGACAAGCATATATAATATATGTATGTATATGTTACATGCTCAGCTATGTCACGATGTCAATACATCAGCCGCGTGTGGCACACGCCAACGCAACGCATCGCTTGACACGCACCCAACGCCATGGCAGACTGAAAAATTTGTGCATTTAAGTTTTTTGTTGGTTTTTTTATTTGTTCTGCATCTCTGCCTTAATTATCTCGCACACTAAAGCTGACTGCTGGCGTTTGCACACACATTTATTCATATTTTCTCGACTGTGACATTTCACTTTCCGCAGATGTATGCCCCGCGCATTTTATGACTTTTCATTTGATTTTTTTACAAGCTGATATTTTTGATTCCCCTGTCACATGGATGATTCAAGTGCGTGGCCAGCGCCACACGCCCCTAGAGCATGCGTCCACATTTCCATTTATATTTATGTATATATGCATATAAGTATATATTCTGATGCTTTCCAATTCATCATCCGCGCTGTCATTGAGCGTATGACATATTCACACCCCGTCAAATGGCAATGAATTGGAAAAAGCACTAAAACACAACAAATAATGTCAACAGTAAAAGTGGAAAATCTAGTTTTCGGGGAACTCATTGTTAGTCATTGACTCGTAGCATCATCAGCGCTGCTGCTGTGTAGCTGCTGTGGCTGTCTAAAAATATTAGAGGAAGGGTTGGTTGTTGTTTTTATTGCTTCATTTATTATAGTGTTTGTATTTTTAATTACAGCAACAGTAAAAGCGTCAAAGCATGCACTTAAGCAAATCCATTAGCTTGCTGTAAGCATATCAACGAATTACATGTGTAAAGTCTACTGAAAGTTTTATGTTACTCATACGCACAGTCCTGCTCGATGCTGCGATCATACGTTGCAACCAATGCCAAAAGTATGTATATGTGAGGCATTACTACCAAAGGTGAGTATATAGCTAAGTGCTTGCTAGGATTATGTATGACTCATAGTGATATGGCCATGATGGAATCCATGAAGTGATCAATGACTTTTTCAGAAAATACAAATATTTCTTGGAAAGCCTTAAGATATGTATTTCATCGTAAAATATTAAGTAGAAAGTTCACGTTCGAATACCTACAATTTTCTTAATATTTGAAAAGTGTAATTTATTCGAAAATAGTTTCCAATTTGAAATTTTATCATTAAAAATTATTTTCTTTATATTTGGAAAGTTTATATTATTCGAAAATAATTTCAGTTTTGAATTTTAATGTTTAATAATTATTATTATTTTAATAAACACATCCTGAAATAATAATAGTAGAAATATTTAATACATTTTTAATATACAAAAACAAATTTTCAAATACCATTTCAACAAATTTAGATGATTTAAATAAATTTAACAAAGCATTTACATATTTTATGGCAATTTGGCTGAAAAGTATCTTTCATTTAAGAATTATTTAACTAATTTCAAATTTACAAACATATTTCAACAATTTTCTTAAAATAAAAGTGGCAACCCTGTTCGGTTAATTAGTTTAGGATAAGTGTACAATTTTTGTTATTTATTATAAATAATGGTTTTATTAAAAAGTGTCATGTCATTTTTAATACTAGAATCTACATATTCAAAATGTGTTAGGTGGCAACCCTAYTAAATATTTTCTAACAAAATTCACACTTGTATTACTTATTAGATTAATTGTTAATTTTTTTTCATCGAAACAATGAGTTTCAAGCATTAATCCAGTTTTTGAATGTTTGCGRCAACCCTATTAAAAGCTACATATGTATGTATATGCTCAGATCGGAAATAAAAATATTATTTGATGCATCCATAAAAAAAATTACAATACATTGCTTGTTTTGCCATTTTGCGCATTTCATATTAAATAACTTACAAAAAATATGGCAGCCCTTTTAAGAAATTTTTCTAAAGAACTATTGCTGTAGAGCATTCATCAAGCAAAATTGCAATAATTTGAATTTTTACGCAATTCATATTTAATATAATTAAAAAATGGCAAAGCTATTAAAATTTTTTCAACCAAAAAAATTTTGAGATTAAATTTAGTATTTCTAAGTGTTGAAGGCTCGATTTTAGTGCTCATTCATAATCATATAAAGCCTTTCTGCCATTAATTGCTTCCTTTAATAAACTGGCAATGCCGCTAAAAGAACCTCTAAACYGCCAAGCTCTTCTCCATTTTTCAACTAACTTCGTTTTCATTTTATTCTACTCTAACTTTTTTCACCTAAACGGAAATCACGCCTTTTCATTCTTCAATGCTCCGGAAGCTCAACTTCAGCACCTGTTGTGCATAAATATATAACAACAAAATCATACTGTTAAAAACSCTTAACTTTTAATCTCTCTCCGCACATTGCGTTTCAACAGCAAATGCCTCCGTTTATAATGGCACGGCATGAGTTGTCGAAATAAATTCCATTCGCCTGCGTGTTWCGGCATGACGGCGATATTTTGCTTTTAAGCTGAATAATCTCCGGATTGTGCAAATGTGTAGCACGCGCCGCTGCGCAACAACAAACACCTGTACGACTTACGGACTTACGTGTTACTTATGTATATATGTACAAAGCACGTGTCACTAAATCTGACAGCTGAAAATGCTTTTGAATTAACACACACACAAAATAATAAATAAATCACGCATTTTTGTTGCTGTTGGTGTTAGTGTTTTCTTGATTTAATGCCACCACACTAACAAGCTTTTCACTAGTTTTATGGCACCTCCTTTGCGCTCAACTTGGACTCTTATTTCTATTTATTTTTCAGTTRTTATGAGCTTAAAGTGTTAGCGCTGAGGCTGTGAAGAGCAGACGCTTTGAAGGTGTTGGAAAGCGTAATTGTTTTTAGATGTTGCTTACAGATATCTTAGCTTCAAGTGATTTTTTAMACTGTTAACGATGTTATATGTGTAGCGATACCACTCAGATATTGAAAGTGTTGTTCATATTCACGAAATTCAATTCAATTTCTTTGGCATTTAAGCGAAACGCACTAAAATAGATCGACTTTCGTTTGTCTAACTGCTATGCGATTTGTTAAAAGGATTGTAGGTTACACCATGAGTTTTCAAAGCTAAATTAAAGTTAATCTTCGAAGTGAGCTAAAACCAAAGAACCTTAAGTTTAAGCTTGTCACAGGTAAAACTTGCTTTTTCAGAAACTAACAGATAGTAGCTCTTGCTTTGAATATAACGAATCTATTGTGTCCATCAAATTTTTCCTTCATTTCCTATTCTTTCRCTGGAGGACGTAATAATACGTTTTAAGACAGTTATGATACATATATTTCAGATTTTTGTATGACATAAAAAAGTTGCAAAAATKTAAAAATAAATACTTCAAGATGTAATAGAAGCAAAAATATTTGTTTTTGGGTTTCTGGCTTAATGTTTCTGACTCTCAACATTAACAAATACTGGAATATCTATTTTTAGCGCTTAAGCTTTGCTTTTGCCCAATATGAATGCGAGTGAGTTGCCCATACAAACGTAAAAAATATAAAAAAGTTCGCGCAAAAGCAAAGTTTAATAAAAAATTTCCTTTGATAATAGTGTAGGCGGAACTAATAATTAATATGCATAAGGCAGACACAACAGTCATTTGGACTGTTGTAATTGAAGCAGCACAAACAAGTGTTTTTTTATACAAACTTTTCTTTATACAAATTTTTATTTT